ATAAAACTAGGGAAAAAAAGGGACATCCAAAAAGGGGAAGCCCTCCTCCTTCTCTTTAAGCGCAGAGTCCGACCTGACTCTAAATGTCCCATGTGCAGTGGAATGAGAAGGCGAGATAAGATACTGCAGGGAGAACATGGATGGGATTTATATGGATATAAATCTGGGAAATATGACAGTCAGTTGTCAGCTCGCAGATCCTCGGGTGGAAAGCAGAACCTCAGGTCAATAGCGCCCATCTGCTAAATTCCAAAAAAAAAAAAAACTCTTGACGTTTGATAAAATCTGTACATTTATTTTAAAAGTCTCCATGATTAGTCTGTCCAAAGAGGACAGTTTTCCATTTATTCTTTTAAATCTTTTATTGTATATCTAATAAATCTTTATCTGCTCTTTAATTTAGATGCTCTGAGTCCCACCGTTTCTGTGTACGCATGTGTTTGTGTGTACGTGTGGCCTTTTCATGGCAGGTTTGTTAGCAGCACTTTTTCTTCCGTTTACTGTTCCGGGTGAGTTTGACCACATCGTTCTGTTGCTGCTCCTGCTGCTTGGCTAACACCTCCTTTTTGGCTCGTAGCACCAGCTCTGTGATGTAGTTAAACATCTGCGGAAAGATGAAGCACAAACACCAGAGAAGTGGTGAGTATAAGAGGAGTCAGATCTGAGATCAAACACTAAAGCAGGGAATAATAAATTATTTATCGAAGCTGTGAGAATATGTTACTTCAGGTCTGTAAAGTCTGAGGTAATTCTGTCGTTGTTTCCTAAGAATCAATCAATTATGAAAAAAACCTGATGTTTGTGATCGACATTTTATGTTACACCGCCTAATGGGTTTAATTACACACAGTTGTGACTCTTGTGGAACCAGATCATGTTGCACAGCATTTATCATAATATTTTGCAGATATAAGTTGAAATAAGACCATGTTACAGTGTCAGTGTTGAAAGATTCTTGCTATATTTCGATCTGGGTCACGGCACCAGTTGAAAGATCACTGGTATAATCAATCCGGTTCACGGCCCAGTTGAACGATTTGGCCCTTCTTCGTTCGTGAGCACGACACCAATTAGAGGATTTCTTCTCCCCGTAGTCACAGCATCAAAATTGAAGAAATCAACTCGTAGGTAGTCTCAGGCAAATAATGAAACTGCCGGTAGATGGTCGATTCGTTTAATAATAAAACGCCAAAACAAACAGGTCCAACGAGCAAAATAAAACGACTGGAGAAGTATTCAAGAAAATCTCGTTCAACAGTTGTCAGTACGCAAATTCAAGAACTAAAACTTCTTAAAAATAACTTCCAAGAATGACTTCCAAAGCATCATCAGAGATGTGCACTTTTATACCTGGTTTGGGGGGAGTGGCTTTCAACTTCCCGGGTGTTTGTTTAAATGTTGTAGGCCAATGGAAGAGAGAGGTTAGGCCTCTTGTGGCCAATCATATTATTGTTATTGTATCATGGTTGTGCCTGCAGTCACCACTATGTGGCGCTGCTGCTCCATGATTCAGCAGTGTTGGAGGACATGTTTATGAACCTTTTTTCACTGAGCAAGGTGTTATTACTAAGGAAGTGGACGGAGCCTTGGGATCCGGCCAACAACAGGGGGTTATGTGGATCAAAAGAAGTGGATGGATCCGGGGTTTCCTGTGAGGATGTGGATTGGGAGCCTTTCCATTGTTCCCAGGGAGTAGTGGTGTTTTGGAACAACAGGGAGTTGTCTGGAGAGTTGGTGTGAAGAGAATTTAGGAGAAATTATCTTTGAATGTGTGGGGCTATGTGAGCGTGTGTGCTTGGGAAGGCCTCTGGTGTCTTAGCAGCTCCCTGCTTTCAGACCCAAACCAAATGTGAAAACCACTGAAATCTAACACTGCACCAAATCTAATCTAATCTGCACCAAAGAGAAGACAAGGGAGGTGAAGAGGGAAGTGGCCAAGGCCAAACAAAAGGCATATGAGGAGTTGTATGAGAGTTTGGACACTAAGGAAGGAGAAAGGGAATTATATAGATTGGCAAGACAGAGAAATCAAGTTGGGAAGGATGTGCAGCAGGTGAGGTTGATTAAGGACAGAGATGAAAACATAATCACAAGTGAGGAAAGTGTGCTGAAAAGATGGAAGGAGTACTTTGAGAGGCTGTTGAATGAGGAAAATGAAAGGGAACATAGGAATGAGGAGCCAGAAACTATTATGACAAAGGTAGCTCAGATTAGAAAGGATGAAGTAAGAAAAGCCCTAAAGAGGATGAAGAGTGGAAAATCAGTTGGTCCCGATGACATACCAGTGGAAGTATGGTGTTTAGGGGGGAGTGGCAGTAGATTTTCTGATTAGGGTATTCAACAGAATTTTAGAGACTTAAAAGATGCCTGATGAGTGGAGGAAAGGTGTTTTTGTGCCAATTTATAAGAAGAGTGATGTGCAGAGTTGTAACAACTACAGAGGGATAAAGTTGATGAGCCATACAATGAAGATTTGGGAAAGAG